GTTGGCTGGATGCTGCTGTGAAACTGGCCTTTGTATAAAAGAGAACAACTCTCATGAACCCCAAGAGGCCTGATGTGGGCTTGGACTCCAATTTTACACAAAAGAGGGCTCATACAACAAATATATACATGAGTTGTTATCACACATCTTTCTGGAGTTTTTCTGGCTGGTGGGGACTGAGCTATCTACACGTATCCTGAATGTTGGTATTCCCCCACCTTTGTTCTGTCCTGCAAAGCCTTCAGAGTGTAAGTAAAAACCAAGAAACAGCCTTGAATCTCTCCTGCACAGAGGAGTGGAGAATATTAGAAAGCACACTGCACACTTCTGCTCTGAAACAATTCCACCTGAAAAGAATCTCTGCCTGGGGTAAGCTTGGTCTGGGCAATACAGAGGGTGTCTCCGTAGCACGTGATCCTTCGGCCCAGACAGTGTCAGCTCTGGACACTGACCATCCCGTGATGCAGCAGAAATATCCTGCTGCTGAGGTATGTCCCACTGACTCATCCAAGCAAAGCTGGCCTCCAGTGCCCAGCCCACACTGGAGGTTTCCGCTGACATCAGCAACCGTGAGACATGTTTGCATCAGCTATGGGATTGAGCTGTCTGACACAGTGACTAATATCCTACTCCTGAAGTCACACATGTCACTCACCAGCCATTGCAAGGGAACAAGTTTTATCTGCACTGTCCAGGATGTTTTTAATGCAATACCGTAAGATTAAGAAGTGTAAAAGCTCCCCACTGCTAATAAAGATATATCTGTACATGGATTGTTACCGGACATTTGCCAGAACAACAGGATTGCCTTGAAAAAATATTTGAAAATGTCGTTCTGGAGTTTCCAGTTTTCCATAATGATGAGTAGCCACACGACTTTTACAGTTCCCAAAGGAAAGGGGCACTTTTGCCTGTGGAAGAAGCACAGGCTGGAACAGGCATGGAAGCTAAAGTATCACACACTATCATTAGGGTGCCAGGACACTAAATCGAGAAACACTGAACTAAGAGCAAAGCGAAAGATCAGATGAAGAGGACAGGTGGTGGGCCTGCTATGTGGAGGAAGGACAATCGTTGTGTTTCCTCGGTAAGTGTCAAAGGAAGGTGTGCACATGCTTCACAGGAGCAGCAGCGATGCCTCACGTAATGTGCTGTGCGTAGGGTCAGCAACCACACACAAATCATGGCGAAAGCAGCTTTTGCTCCTTTGTGTCATCTGCGTGTGGCTCTTGATGGGGTGGGAGGAGAAGGGTCATTCTGTGGGATGGGTGTGAATTCACCTGGAGCACTTGGAGAACCTGAAGTGTATATGCTGAGCAGTCCTGCTCGTGTGGATGGCTGTCGGCATGAGCGGGACTGCCCAGCATATAGCGGGCACCATTGAGAGACAGGAAAGACAGCAAAAGGTAGAGGGAAAAAAAAAATCAGCAAAAGGTAGAGGAAAAGCAAGGATAATTCCCCTTGTCCCAAAGGCAACTCTTGCATATTCTATTGCTTGGTCTCATAAGACAGTCTTCAGCAGGCAAAAATAAACCTTTGCTGTGTCGGCATGTGGTCATTACTAACTAAATGCCAAGCTCTTCACACGGTGCTTTGCGTCAAGAGAGGATTCAGAGAGTTGCAAATCCATCTAACCAGCACCAGTCACATTATAAAAATAACAGCAATGGAAATGAAACAAGCTGAGTGGTTATTTAATGTAGCCTGAGTACAGCGTGGTCCTGCAGCCAGTTTTTGGCCACAGCCAAAGCCCACTGGTGTCAGGAGAGTCCAGTAGACTTGGAAGCATGCCCAAGAAATGTGAAACCAGAATCTGAACCACTCCTGGTGCTCACAGGAGGAGTGGAGGTGTTCATACCAACAAACCTGAGCTTCAGCAGCCTCATCTGTGCAGGGAAAACAATAGATCTCTCTCCACTCCCCATCTTTCCAAATAACTTTCATTCAGATATCATATCTGCTCTTAAACAGAGTCACACAACAGGACTGGAACTGAGCAACATGAAGTTCCACACCAGATCTGGCTGTGTTTCCACTGCTTGGGGAATGGGACGCATCTAAAATCTTGTAACCTTGATCTAAAGAGCCATCTTTTGTCTTTGCCTTACTGCGGAGGGGTGCCTCCACGCACCATGTCTTCAGCAGCAAAGCTGGCTTGAGGAGCTTCTTGTTCCTGGCCACTTGATCTCATAACGTATTTCTCCACAGGTCTCCCAAAAAAGTTATTCTGGAGGCTCTCAGTAAGGTGGATCAGCAAATGGGTCTGAGGTAAAAATAATCCCTCAAAAATAGTAAAAGAAAGTATTTTTTATCTGGATCAAACACTAATTTAATGTAGGTGCCACAAGTGCTCTTAAGCTGATTTAACCAACAGGAAAAAATATGGGCATGTGAATATAAAAGTGAACATTCAAGAAATTAAGGATAGCAGTGCCAGATCTGATGAAGAGTCTGGTCAGGTCTGTCACCTGTCACTTGCAGTAGCTGGCAGCAGCTGTGGAGGACAACGTATAATAAGAGGGCAAGCAATAACAGTACTTCCCAGGACATGCTCCCACTAGCCATTCATTCACAGCTTGAGGACTGCCACAGAGACCAAGAGCAGCAGGGCAGCTCCCTGCGCGCTGGCAGGTTTTGCTGTGAAATCCTGACAGCGTGAGAAAACTCTTGTTATTTCCAGGGTGGGTTTGCTGCCTTAGGAGCATGGCTACACCATTTGCAGGGTTTCTTCCCGAGTCCAGAGCTCTTTACTACTGGATAGCTTGAGTGACCGTAGCTATGCCATTCTATCACCTGAGGTGAGCACTTAACATCTCGTTATCACAAGGCTACCATCCTCTCTTTGACATGGCTGTCTCTCCTGTAGAGAAAATTAAGAGCCTGTGCTAGATGGAAAGCGCAGTCTTCAGCCTTTGTGTATCCCTGACAGCCGTATGACAGAAATAAAGGAAGCTTTAAAAGTACTCCCATAGGCAATCTATGTTTGTACTCCTTCATCAAAGACCGTGACCCTCGTACGACTGCGTCATGCTCACACACACTCCCAGGCATGGGGATGCCAGTCCCAAAGCAAAAAGGGTTACACCTGCTACAGCAGTGCTTGGCTTTTCCACAGGTAAGGTTGGCCGTGGCCTAGCAATGCCCCCTTCCTCAGGCAAACCCCACGTGCAGCAGCACTCCTCAACACATCAGTCCAGATAACACTTTAGGTTCCCGTCCCTGCCACAGTTATCGAGCAGTTGTAAATTCAGGCAGTGACTTTGAGAGCTGCACTTGCAGAGGACTGCAATAGGTTGGCAGGGATGGAGGATGCAAGGAAATGCGTGGAAGCACCTGAATGAACAAATGGCAGAAGAATGGCTATAAGAGTGGCACCCAGATCAGCAAGTCATCAAGATCCCAGCACACCCAAGCAAGTCATCAAGATCCCAGCACACCCACATGCAGCTTCTCAAATGCCTGGACTGGGAAACAAAGGACAGAATAAAACAAGGGAAAACATAAAAAGGGACATTTCAGTTGTCCAGAAACTTCTCAGAAGCAGTGGCAAGACAGAACACTGTTACTACGAACAGAGAAACCTTCTGAGATCAATTCACAGACAAGACTTTTCCACAGGTATTTTATATGTTATAATCACTGAAGTAAGGTATGCAAGAAAGCCACATAAGAAATCTTCTAAGGTATTGACCTTAAAATACACAAGCATGCTCTACCACATACGGCTTTCAGGACTTGGGCGGGGGAAGTAAAATTTGTTCTGTTTTACAGACACACTGAGGAACAAAGGTACACTCCAGGTCATACCAGTATTTTGCAATAAGGTGGGGTGTGAATTCGTGTGTCCTAACTCACAGTCTTGCCTCCTGACCACCACACTACTTCTTCTGCAGACACAGGACCTGTCTCTTCAAGCCTTCCCTCAAAGTCTCCACAAAGCAGGATTTCTAGTCTGACCAAGGGTACAACGTTTGCAGCCCCAGCCAGGCACTCTATTAATGTTCTTAAAGACATTTCGTGTATCCCTGCTGCTGCTGCCAGGCTTTTCTAACAGCTGGTTAGAAAGACCTTTTACAAGAAAGGTGAGGTCTTCGGCTGAGTCATCCTCATGTCAAATAGACCGTCTGGGGTATTTTTGCTGACTCCCTCTGATGTCAGACCTACTAAGTCCCATTATCTCTAAAGCAGGAATATAAAGAGAAGTCTAATGTTTCTGTGAGACAGTGGGGACTGCTGACATGGACTTTTGTGTTATCTGAGGGCTTTGGGACAGGAAAAATAGCTGTGTGTTAGCTCTTCTGTAGTGACTGCTAATGCACATACTCATATGTATATATTACATGTATATACAGCATACTAATAGGCAGTAGCAAATTTGGTCTGTCCCTTTCTTATGTGCAACACTCCAACTAAACAAATATGGAAGGTGGAGTGATGGGACCATGTCTGGGCTTGGTGTGCCTACAACAGTGTCATCTCACCCCGAATATGGCCCTCAGGATGTGATACAGTCTCGCTGACAGATCACACACTCTTCCATACACACATACGATAGTTATGACTCTGATCAATTCACCCCTCTAGTCATTCTCACTACATACATAATTGTGCCCACGCAGGGACTGGAGAGACCAGGGCCACATCTTCCACTTAATCTGATTAAAAGTGAGAGCAAGACTGTGGCCGTAGTCTTCCACATAGCATGATGCCACCACCTGTGAATGAAATCACCCTCTGGAGGTATCTCTCCGTATTGTCTGTGGGTGGAGAAGGGGCCTGCAAGCGGGCTCCTAGATTAGGGACCTCAATGAAATCACTAAGTGAGATGGGACAGATAGAGCTATTATTAGCTATTTCAGTTTACCTGTAAACAGAATTTATTCAACAGATAACATTTAAAAAAAATTAAACAGAGAAGTTTGTGAGCTCTAATTCTCAGAATTTGTAAAGGGCTTGACGGTTACTCTTAGGAAGGTCAGGACAAGACATTTCTAATACATTCCAAAACTAAAGCAAGCTAAAAGGGTAGTAATCTACACAGGCTTGAATCACAGTGAACGTTTGCACAGACCTCAACACACACAAGCCGAAACTGCTAAATTTCAAACTTGCCAGCATATGTTTCACAAGCTACCAAGTGCAGCATGCCTGCAACTTTCTGTGGCTTCTCATCACAGCAGCCGAGTTGCACGATCCTTGCTGGTGTTCAGAAATCCCAGAGGGCATCTGGAACCCCCTGCTTGGGATAAACCTCCATGTCTCAATTTTTGAGATCTAATCTGCAAAGCTATCTCCAATCAAACTTTTTCGGATCTGGGCTCACAAAGATTTCTTTAACCAAGTTTGAAATAAATTTTTGTAACTAAATCCTCAAGAATGGATCTTATTCCCACCATGTTTCTTCCTCTTGTTCTTTCAGAATTTGAAAACAAACCATTGCCCTTCAGAGAGACTTGTTTTGCATAACGGTGCTTATGCAGACATCCCTCATATCGTAAACGGCTGTCAGGTCTTGGTCCTTGCTTCTAGGAGTGCTTTATATGGGTTTTATTTCTCAGTAGGCTTCATCAGTGATAAAGTTCTAGAACTACAACTGTCAAGTGTTGTAACAGCTACTGTACAGTTCAGAAGAAGCACAAGTGGGCCTCACTCAAACCAGATATCCATTAGAACTCACATTTATGTTTAGATGACAGAGAGAGGCTGTATCACCATTTGGAGACTTTGATGATAATAATGACCCTTGTCCACTACTGTGCATCCTTATCCCCCCTTTCTGCACCTCTGTTAGCCCCCTCATTGAAAACCCACCACAGCTTGCAGCCCCCCAGCCCAGAGCCTAACTTTTCAGTTCAAGTTGCAAGGACTGATGCTGGCTCCCTTCCATGCTCGAGTCCAGTCCTTGGTACCAGCCACGAATAGTAACCATCAAACGATGATTCTCTCTTAAGCACCAAGGGACTCAAAAGCGTGTCTGCCTCCTGTGAATTCTGGTATGTGCTGCCTGCAATGTCTGTTTCTATATATTCCTGCCAACTGCATGACTTCATTCAGCTACATGATATTCCAGACAACACAACACTGAAAATAACGCTGGCAACTTACCTGAGCTGCCAGTGCCTTCCGATGCACTTCTGGATGTTTTTGGCTGGCTCTGTTTGCTACTTGTTCGTACAGTGACCGAAGGAGGAACAGTGCTGCTGCTATCTCCACGAATTGTTGAGAGATCCTGCATGCTAAAGCTCCTTAGTCTCTCAGACAGGGCCCCCTGTCCCTAGTTAAACAAACAAGCAAATAACACACACACAAGTTAGACGCCACAGTCTATTTTGAGCCTTTTTCCCCCCTAGCTCATTGAAATCTATCAGTATAATAGGAAGAGAAAAAATTCCCTGATCCGGTAACCTAGAGAGGACAAAAACGAGTTGTTAAAAGCATCATTTCCCTCTCTTTGCTCTTCCTTTTGGAGTGGTTCTATGCACAAAGTCTGACCATTCAAACTTTTGATGGCGAGCATGTGTCATTCCTCAATATAGTCATTTGAGCTCAGAGCAGCCTTGGACCCATCTGAAAGAGCAGGATAGTGTTGTATCTTTCTAGTAGTTTTCTTCATTAGGATCTGAGTCAAATATGTGCTTGGCTTCAGAAACACAATTAAATGGTCTACATCAAAATAACTCTCTCTTAATTATCTATGATGACAGTCACCCAGCAGTTCTCAGTCATACAGAGAATTTCCAGAGCACAGAAAATCTGAAATTTTGAGGTAATAAAAAGTTATTCTTAAATGCAAAGAAATATTCCAGTGCTTTTTCATGCGGTTTAAGAAAGAAACAAACTCACACAATAATTTTCTTTCTTTTTAGACTAGCTCTCAATCAAGCGATAAACAGATTCCTTGGTGAAAGGCACATAACTGTTCTTTGTAAAGGATGGATTGGTTAGAAGACATCTTTCATTAAAACTACATCCCACCAAAAAGTTGACTAGAAGTATACCTCTTTCTGAATTCTGTAATCGTCATACTACACCCCTGCCATAGAGCAAGAATGCCAGAAAATACAATCAACACGGAACTATCTATCCTTCCCTGTTGGCTAAATTAAGTGATATTCAGAATATAAATAGCATAACTGATAGAAAGTACATTCAAGTTTTAGCATTTTGTTAAATGAGGGGGACGGTTTGAGAGATACTTCATAGCATATAGTCCTGAAAAAAATACTGAAATTAATACAGAGAGCCTGATTCTAAAATTATTTCTGCTAGTGTAAATCAGGAAAAAAACCAATGGATGCTTCGACTGAGGTGAAACCAGAAAGCTGGCAAACGACAGTAAATATTGCCCTGTTTAACAAAAAATGGCCAGGTAAGGCACATCACAGCAATTCACACACCACCTTAATTTAGAGTTGTATTTGTCAAAGCAGTACATAAGCAGAAGCATAGTCTGAACACTGCCAGAGGGCTCTAGGTTGGGGCTGGACCAGAATAAATCTCTGCTCCCTTCTGGGCTGCAGATTTGAGTATCCTGCCCATAAAACCAGGGTGCAGGTGAGGGGGCAGTGGTGAGTACGCTCTGGTACAGGCCTGGCATGGAGAAGGGACTCATCCTGATGATCTATGATCAAAGGCAAGACCGGACACATTCCTTGCTAAAGCAGTTAGGCAACACGGACTGTCCCCTAGAGCACTGGCATTGCTACATGGGGAAGGCAACGAGTTAATTTACCTACAAGTACAGATTTACCAACATCACTTCAGAAGTTTCTCATGCAGAGTAATGGAAAATCAGTGCCTATACCCCATATAATTCCTTAGCATCTTACTTCTAGGGACTGTAAGTGGACAGGGCATCACAGTCGCTGTGACAGCCTGCACTTTCTACATTGATGAAAACTGCTAGATCAGTAATCTCCCAACTTTTTAGCCTGAAGCTTTTCATACAAGAAAATGGATTCAACTTCCTTCTCAAGTCCATAGCATACCAATTTAACCGCAGGCAGGCTATATATCCTGGACTACACCACTTTTGTGCATCGGCAGGAAGCAAACAGCACATGATGATAACTTCTTCAATGCTGTCCCAAAGCATCATCAATAGAAATATGCATCATGCAAGAAAAATAAAACTGAACTGTCCTTTGTAGAGCAGTCATCTGGTGGAGCTAGCCAGGAAGCTGCACTGGGATTTTTTCTTCATTTTACTGAACCTTTGGTTTCTTAAGATGTATGCTGTGTTTGGCAGCATTTTGCACTTAGCTTTTCTGCAGACTGAGAGAGAAGTCTCCACACACCCACCATGCTCTTCCTGCAGACCTACTTTGCTCTTTCTCATTAACCTCTTCTACTTTTTACAGCATTTTAAATGGATGGGGCTTTTTTGTTTGTTTATTTCACCAATTTTAAAATGCTTGGCAGTGAAGTCCGAGAGCTGACGTTTTGTTAAAATCTCAGCTCTGCCATCTCACTCTCCGACCTGCCACTAGAGTTGATGCCTGAATTTTGGCGGGCTCTGCCAGTGGCTGAGCCACTCTTGGGACAAGTTCTCGCTCCAAGAGGCATCTCAAGTTATTCCTCTTAAGCCAGTCTAAGATACATCTACCCTGAAGCCTACAGCTGCAACCGTTACCAGGCTGGTATACCTAAATTTCCTTGCATGGCTGGTTAGCTGGGGGCGATCTGAACTGCCCAGAGCTCAGCACAGTGCAGTTCTGGATGGGTTTTGTAGCTTGCACTGAATTCCTGCACAGCCACCCTACTCTCAGTAACTGGTTTAAAGCTAACACAAGACATCCTACCCTGCAGTCTGACTACAACAGTAGCCTCCTCCCAGCCACTCTACTCAGCCAGCTAACCCAAATACCATTTCACTCCAGTGTGTAAAACCCCGCCCTCTCCCCTCCCCCTCTCCCCCCTGCCACTAGAGTTGATGCCTGAATTTTGGCGGGCTCTGCCAGTGGCTGAGCCACTCTTGGGACAAGTTCTCACTCCAAGAGGCTGAGCTACTCTTTGAACATGTTCTCGCTCCAAGAGGCATCTCAAGTTATTCCTCTTAGGCCAGTCTAAGATACATCTACCCTGAAGCCTACAGCTGCAACCGTTACCAGGCTGGTATACCTAAATTTCCTTGCATGGCTGGTTAGCTGGGGGCGATCTGAACTGCCCAGAGCTCAGCACAGTGCAGTTCTGGATGGGTTTTGTAGCTTGCACTGAATTCCTGCACAGCCACCCTACTCTCAGTAACTGGTTTAAAGCTAACACAAGACATCCTACCCTGCAGTCTGACTACAACAGTAGCCTCCTCCCAGCCACTCTACTCAGCCAGCTAACCCAAATACCATTTCACTCCAGTAAGCAATTGATGTATGTGGACGTGAGTCAGATTAGAGAAGAGATTCGTATGTCAGACCAACCTGGCAGGGAAGGTGACACTAACACATCCTTTTGCATTGAAAATAAAGAGGATATGTTAATATTCTTGCATTGCAACTTGTGATATAGTGGCATATAATGGTCAAAGGCCCCAGAGATACCTCTGAAACAAGGGTCTGATATGTGCCTGTCATCTCTGGGTCTGTAACATTAGCATATAATAAGTACAACCACAGTCTTAAACACACAGTCACGACAGCTGTGCTAGACAAGTTTGACTTTCTCCAGGAAAAAAAAAATAAAGTTGTCTTTTCTTGATTTTTGCTTTAATTTCACCTGAGTTTATAACAGCAAAGATAAAGGTGGTTCATCACACAACTAGCAAAATATCACCGTTCCTGCCATTCCATGAAGCAGTTTGTCCGAATCTCAGAAACAGCAGGAA